AATTATTGAAAGGGTTGCAGATAATCGTCGAGTTCGATGGAAGGAATGGTCCCCAACGAAGGCAGCACTCTGTTTACAGTGTAACGGCCGAGTGTGCAGATAGGCTACGGTAGGTGACATCTTCCACCCACCTCTACACTCTTTCTGCTCGCACCCAGTCAATTGCCAGATTACATGCATTTTCTTAACTGGCTCCCCGTGTGAAGTTGAAGTCGGGTTGAGATTGTGTCCTGAGCTGCTTACCCCCCATCAAATTTGAAAAGAAAACGTTCGACTCCCTTTTTTTGAAAGTTAAAAAAAAAGAGAATAGAAAAAGGCCAGCGGCCTAGCTCAGTTGGTAGAGCACACAAGTGGCATTCAGCAGGTCGTGGGTTCTGTTTCCCACGTCGTCCGTCCGTTCGATTCCCAACGGCCTCCTGGAGCGCGCTTTGGGTTCACTGGCTGAGATAGTTGGCTTGCTTCCCCTGGCTGGTCCTGGCAGGAGTCTATGAATCTGGCCGTACCTCGCTACAGTTTTCACCCGAATAGAACGCCCGGTAATTATCACCGTATCTGGGCTGAAAGTTGTGCCAAATACAGAATTAATGACGGGGCGTTCTATTCGCGTGACGACCGTAGGGGTTAGGAGCCCGGGGGCAAGGTCCGACTTGCTCGGATTAAGAGACTTGGGCGGTTGATCTCCGCTATCGATGGTCAGCATCTCTTAATTCCTGCAAGTGGGACCTAGCCCCGGGTTCTACCCCCGGCGAAGAGTAGAGTGGACAGATGTTGGTGGGTTCCTCCCTCTAGCAGTTCCCTTCCAGTGGCAGTCAGTGTAAGGTGGAAAAACTATTGAGAGAAGAAAATAGCGTAGGGAAAGAAAAAAAAAAAGGAAGGAAAAAAAAAGGTGAATACAGCTGTCCCCCATATATGCAGATTAAAAACGATAATAATAATAATAAAAAATCACCAACTGGCCTAGCTCGGTTGGTACACCTGCTGCACTGACGATGCAGACCTGGGTTCAAGCACCACTGGAAGCAGGCCCGAGTTCAAATAAACTATTGAAGGGTAACTTCAGTAGAGTCACAAAAACGAGTTATAATTGCACTGTGGGGCAAGATACAGTTTGCAATTGCACTTCGGCGCTGTACCTGGCCAGAAAGCTGGGTTGTATACATTTGCCTGAACTGCAATTCGAAACTGTTAATGTATTTTGGCCCGTAGTGCAATTTTATAACTCTTGTTTGTGACTCCCCTGTAGTTTCCCCATTATTAAAATACTACAATTATTCTGAATTACCTTAGGCCGGTCAGTTTGATGATGATTTCTCAAGGCCGTCCCCCTCTTTTTCCAAAAACAAGAAAGAGAATTTCAAAGAAGAAAAACTTCAGATTCTTCGTCACAACTTGGAAGAGACTGAGACTTTGCTACTATTAACTGAATCATCGTGACAGTGCCTGTGGCACCAGATGGGCTTCCATGAAATTCAATACGTAAAATGTTAAGACTTAAAAGCAGTACAGTTGGAAATTGGAACGAAAAGTCCTTTGGGACAGTGCCGTCACCGTGAACGTGACTGGCCGGTCATATGGCCCTGCTACTGTGAACGGCCATTCACGGTGAATGGCCACACCAGACCACGAAAGGGCGGTGGTTTTTTTTTTTCTTGTTTTCTTTTTTTTTGGGGCTCGCCCAGCTACAGTCGCCTCAAGCCCCACAGCATGATGACATTAAAAAAAAGTTTTTGCAAAAACCCGAAATAACCTACAAAACAACAAACAAAAAATGCTTATTTTGGCTGGTTGCAATTTGTTTTTCGGTTCTAATTTAAAAAATATATTATTCTTGAAAAAAAAAATAAAAAATTTATGGGGGGTTACCCTCCTATGACCCCCACCCTCCTACAAAAAAAAAAAACAACCCCCCAACCAAAAAAAAAAAAAAACCCCCCCCCCCCCCCCCCCACCCAAAAAAAAAAAAAAAAAAACGATCGGGCTCTGCGTGAAGTTGTGAACCCCCCCGTGAACGGTGAACGGGGGTACAGCACTGCCTCGGGACATGCTTTAAAATTGGAACAATACAGAGGAGATCAGCATGCCGTCTGCACAAGACTGACACACATAAATCCAAATAATTGTCTTTTTCTTTTCTTTTTTTTTGGACTTTTAAAAAGGAAATTGGAAAGAAAATATCCCAAGTAATCCGTTGAAGAAGTTTGTGCAGTACGTATCCCTCAAAAGACTGCACGAGAAAAGAAAAGCACTCTTGGAAGTAGACATCAGAAACAGTCCTGCATATCAGAGTCAGACATATACCTGTGTGTGTGTCCTTGATCGAAAGGCCGTAATCATCGGCGTCATGATTGTGAAAATAGAGCTCTGGATATGTTCACCTGGGGCCAAGTCCCACCTATCCGAATTCTCAATTTCCGACCATAGATTAGGAAGATCAACGGCCAGGAATGAACGATCAGCGTAAGTGGGACTTGGCCGCTGTTCACATGAAACTTGATGAAAATCATGAAAGGGCGTGCGCCTGCCTGGAAGCCTGCAGAATCTAGAGCCTGGACTCTACAGCGTGTCTCCCCGAATCTGACAGGAGTGTCAGGAGGGCGAAGGGAAAGATGCTAAGTTCGTTGGATTCATTGAGAAATAATTTAGCGGATAAACTCCATTTGTAAGTGTGAGAAGAAATTCAATGCGTTTACTACCGGTAGGCAAATGGGCAGGGGCCGCAGGGCTGGAGCAGGCAAGAAAATGGGAGAATGATGAGATTCGGTGAGGAAAGACAAAAAAAAAAAAAAAAGGGGTTCACAACTTGGCTAAGCGAATAGAGCGGTGGAGTCAATACAAAAGTGGCGTTGCAAACAAAGGAGAAGAGAAGCATGCTAACAGCTGCAGAAATGTCAGAAAACGGTGATGATGCTAGAAAGAAAATGATGACGATCCTTAAAAAAAGGGGGGAAAAAAAGGAAAATGATGATGATCCCGCGTGCGCACTTAGTACAGGAACTGCAACATGAAGATGCTCTGGAAACCACGAAGGAGAAAACAAGCACTCTTACCGTTTTAGAAGATGATGATGATGATGATGATGATGATGGAAGAAAAGGATGGTGGTACTGGAAGAGAGTGACGATGATGGCCTTTTGGAAATGTGAGATCACGTGCAGTATCTGTTCTGGTCAGTTTAATATCTGATCCGCGGTCCATTGAGAGAAAAAAAAAAGAACAAAGAACGATGATGATCCTGAATATGCGCCGAAAAGTGACAGGAGTCAAAGGGGTTGATGAGCTGAGGCATGTCTTGTTATGTGAAAGTTAATTGACGCACGGAATTTGTTATCGTAAATGAAATTCGATGTGTTTGCTGTGCATATCCATCGCTCAGATCGCTGCATTCAGTGCGTTGGTGTACTATGAATAGCACAGCACCTTCAACAACAGCAACAAAAAAGGAATGCAGCACGAAGCCCCGGTACTGTATGAATATGGTCTGGGACACTGGGCCCGGTTCCCAGCACGTGCTGCTCCCCATGAATAGATTGGAGCCTTGCTTTGTTTTTCAAAAAAAAGAAAAAAAAGAAGTTCTCGATCACTTGGTGTGAGGATACCATTCACAAAGAGGGGTGCATGTCTTATGTCCCCTCAAACTCAGTGATTCGATTCTAAATTTATTGCGCTGGAACCTTAGATGGCTGGGTTCTGAGCTGTTGCAAATTGCAATCAATGCCTCGTCCATTAATGGATGCCTGATTTTTCGATAATCCATGTGCTGTTTGTGAAGGGGTTCAAGGGGGGGTTCGGTTCTCAAAAACATAATAACAGCCATTTGGTTAAAACGGACGTTTTATTTTTTTTATAACGAAACTGAAACCTATTTACGTGGCCTTAAAAATGTCACCGTTTTAGCTCCTGAGGGTACGTCTGGAATCTGGACTAAGCTGAAGTGAAGATGCATCCAAGGGCACAGGCCTGGCGTTCTCAGATGGTGACATTCTTAGGGCCAAATAAGTGGGTCCCAATTTGTCCGTTTTAAATTTTAATGTCATTCAATGAAATGGCAGCTTAACCTATAATTGCTAAGTTCTTTCAAATAGACCCATTGCTACTTATCAAGCAAGACATGCCAGGTGCCCTTTGTATGGATATTAGGTAATTGATCATTATTAGCAAATTAATATGAACGCAATAAAAATAAGTTATTTACATTAATAAGTTATTTACATTAAATGATTAAAATAACAATAAAAATATCGTTTTGGTGAATATCTCAAAAGGGAGCTGCAGCCTTCAGCACAATGATCTTTCTCGTCTGAGACAGAAGACTAAAGCTTCATCAACTGGTCAGTGGACTTTCACTGAAAACTTGGTACTACATGCGCTATATCATTCATGTACTTTTTTCAGATTTTTAAATTTTTTTGCTCCATAATCGATTAATCATTAATGGTTCCTACTAACTACCGGTAGCAAGCTGTTTGTCTCCTGAGGAGGCAAGAGCTTGTGAAACTGGATTTCAATTTCAGGGCTTCTGATCTGCCAGGTTCGCTGCGTTATAGAAAGGTCTAAATGATTTATTACCCATGTTACCAGAGTTGCCCAGGGGCCAAGGACCAATTGCCTGGCAGGGGCCAAAAATGAGTAATTTTTTTATTTTTATTTTGTTCATTTCGAAAATAATTTCGGTGTGACCCTGAGGCAAAGCTGGCAGCTTGTTTTCTGCACACCATCGTTTTTTTTCCGGATTTTGGATTTTGTTTTTTCTCTTACAGCAGGGACCTTTCCTGGCTCTTGCCCAGCTGCCCCAGGCCGCAAGGGAAGCCAAGGTGACCCAGGCGGCCCGGTTGGTAATAGTTTGAAGCGTCGATACACTATCCAAATGATGCACGCAAAAAAATGAAATGTATTTGGCAATGCTTTGTCAGGGCACATATGGTGATATTTCCTGCAATGCCATCATGCCTTCTACGGTGGGAGTGGTACACTTCGCAGCTGAATGAATCTATGCCAGGCTGAGGCTAAATCCATGCCTTCTATATTCCTTTTGTTTACTCTGTTTTTTTTTTAACTGCTCATATGACTTTCTTTCTCCGTGTGAAGGTTTGAGTGCAGGGATGGTGAAGGAATGAGAGAAATGAATGTCACGGAATATTACCAGGAACGACACAACCTGAGGTTGATGGGACATGCCCTGCCCTGTGTGGATGTTGGGAAACGTGGCCGACCAACATATATCCCCATTGAGGTGAGCGCAATTGTATGAAACATTGAAACATCAATTCTCTAAAATCAGATTTATTTTTTTTTCTCTCAAAAATAACTATCAATCACAGGCCTTGTATCCAAAGTTATGTAGTCTCTGATGCTCAAAGTAATTTTGAATTTTCTATTCGAAAACAGAGCCGGCGAACGTATAATATCATATTTAGAAATTTTAGGTGATACCTGCATGAAACATCTATCATTTACATCAAAAAATCTCTATCAATCACTGGGAACCCCCCCCAATCGTTGCGAAACTGTGGTAAAGCTATGAACAAATGCAAGTAATCCCGAACGAACAAAAAGAGTACCGAAAAGACTGAATGAAAAAGTAACAATGTTTAGAAAGAAGGTCCAAGAATTGACTGAATGAATACAAGCTGTAGCTAATACCCAAGGCATCAAAGGTGCATGTTCTACGGGATACCAAAACCACCAACCGCCCCAACGTAGCTGATCATAAGCCCACCAACTTTCAAGTAGTATTACTACAGTTAAAAAACACCAGCAGTTGGTCTTAAAAAAATTAGGTGGTTTTGTATTGGAAAATGTGGTGGGCCAACAAACTATATGGCCATTGATGTGAGACCTCATAATGCTAAGCTAAAAATAAATTCTTTAAACCAGAACATCCCTGTGGCAACGACTTCGAACTCCCAAGGTTAGTCTCCAGATTTGAACCTTAATTTTTGAAGTTTTAACTTTAAATTTTTAAGTTAACCAACCCAACTTTTCTCCTATGTTGGGTGCTTCCTTGTTCAAACTAGGAATGCCATTGGGCCAAAAATGGGAGATGGTCTCAAATTGCTAGCCACTCCAGTAGTTGATTGGACGTTCTCCATGGGACAAATTGAATGTGTTTGTTTTTCCGGAAACTTGGAGTCCGACGTGGGAGGAGGGGATTAAACCACCAGTAGTACTTCCTAAAGTTACGGCCGTTAACAAGCCACAATTTAAGGAAACGTACGGGCCACTACAGGAGCGCCCAAATTCATCGGGCTGGAAATGTTTCTAGAACTAACATTTCGTTAAAATTGACATTTTTTACTATTTTCACGAAATTGGGCATCCAAGAAAAAACTGAGTTTTTTAGTGTGTTTTTGTGCCCACGACATCGGACCATTGATGGTCCGGCGTCCTGGGGACTCCGGACCATCTGATGTATCTCATCGTAAAGTACCGTCAAAATACATCCGGCGTCCTGGGGACTCCGGACCATCTGATGTATCTCATCGTAAAGTACCGTCAAAATACATCCGAGGGTCAAAAAAAAAAGAAAAAAAATTGAGGCATATCAGATGGTCCTTGGGGACGCCGGACCATCAATGGTCTAATGTGGTCGGCGCAAAAAAATGTCAAAAAATACTGTGCTTTTTTGGAAGTTCAATTTCGTGAAAATATTAAAAAATGTCAATTTTAACGAAATGCCTATTCTAGTACTTGTACAGTTCCGGTTACTAGCGGGAGTGGGTTTGGGTTACTAGTGGGCGTGGGTTTGGCGTGGGTTTTACTAGCAGGCGTGGATTTGGCGTGGGTTTGGGTTACTAGTGGGCGTGGGTTTGGGTTACTAGTGGGCGTGGGTTTGGGTTACCAGTGGGCGTGGGTTTGGTTGTACTCTATTTTCTCCGTGGCCGATTGCTAGGCCAAGTACTGGTGGTTTAAGGAGGGGATTAAAGTGGGTGGGATAAAAAAACAACCCACTAGAGGTGGTGGTACTAGTCAGCGGAGTCTCGCATGGGTACAAAGTGAGTACAAACACAACAAATGAGACTTTCTGATGTTTCGGGTGCCTTCAAAACGTTGGAGCACAGACATAGTCACGTCGCCACGTCTCAACTTCTATCGAGTTCTCTTGTTCAGGGGTAACTGAAAACGGCAACTTTAAGAGTTGATTAAAACAAAACAAAACAAAACAAAACGAAAAAATAAAATAAAATACAGGTTATATAACCCACAAAATAGCCCAGTTATATCACCCATAAGATAGCCTACAACTTAAGTATTAGGATTAGGAAGAATTACGTGTGTCTCAAAATTTGAAAGTGTCTTCGAACTGATGCGGGATATGACTCCATAAAAACCAAACAGGTCTCGCTTTTGGCTTGTGTAGTGTCCATGTTCCCTCTGATATTTAACTGGTAGTATTATTTAGCAGTATGATATATCGTTGGTATTATAAATTTATAGTAATATGTATTAATATTATAATAATAGCGACAACAATCTAGACTCTAAGAGTACCATGTTAATGACAGTGAAGGGATGAAATCTATGGAACACATTTGACCCACTGAGGGCTTACTCGCATGATGACTTTTTCCACTAAGCTCTGGACGGGATTGCAGTCAGATTTATCCAGGTTTGACCGCAATTGCAGCCAGATATATTTAGGGAAGTAGTAGTGTGAGGATCCCCTAACTCAGATGATAGCATTGTTATGGACAATAGGGAAGACCAGATAAAACGAGATCCTGTGAGAACACGGACGGCAATTTGTACCACGGAAGCCTGTACTTGAGCCCAAAAGATCATGGAAACGGAAATCAGTTGCCGATGGTCCGGCGATGGAGAATGAGGCCAAAGGAGGAATTGAGTATCATAAGCCCCGTCCTAGGGGACATGCATTCGAATTGGAAGAATACAGAGAAGATTAGCATGTCCCCTGCACAAGGATGACACACATAAGTCGGCTCAATGTCTGAATTTTTGTAAGCGAAAAAAAAAGGAGTATCATCAGCCCCATGTTAAGGACCGGTCGTCAGTTGCAACACCTATCCGCGGAAGATTGTGGTGCCAACATTGCCAAGAGTGGGTACAAAGAGGGGAGCTTTAACATTCAAGAACTGGGGTCTGGGGGGTGAACGTGATCATGGGTCACGGATGGTACTACAACATGAGGAAGAGTGGGATGAGGATCTCTGTCAAGTGGTACAGTAGTCAGTCAATCAGGGTTGGGCAAGATCATTGTGCATTCAGCCAATCAGGGTTGGGCAAGATCATTTTGCATTCAGTCAATCAGGGTTGGGCAAGAATCCCGCAAGATCATGATGCATCGCCATGCTTTAGCAACATATTCAGAAAAAGCAGTGCAACGAAGAGAAGATAAGGAAGCTAAGGAGAATGGCCTAGTATTAGTGAGCCTTAAACCACCAGTCCATTTGAATTTACTTTACTGCTCAGTGCTTATCTATGTGTGCAAGTACCATCTCCAGGCCATTCGGCGCAGGGCCGGTAGGGCAATGAATGAGCAGTAATTTCGGACCCCAGATTGTCTGTGAGAGGCCCAGTATTTTCAATATTGCAGAGGTTGGCAGGTTGCTACCGATACTGTGATGATGGGTTTTCTAACGGCGACGGCTAGTACTGGTCACTTCTAGCCTTAGCAAAACCCATTTTTTGGGCCGTCAATGTAGTTTCGGATGGACTAGTGGTTGAAAGGAAATTCTTGTAAACTTGTAAAGCAGGAAAAAAAGGGAGTCTCAGAGATAGCAGATAAAAAATATAGGAAGGTTCTTTGGAATGCCTGAGGCGCAATTGGGCAGGGAAATCGGCTTCGCATATTTGGATCTACTGCCCATGCTTCGCTTCAGATCTGGCAGGGGTGGAGAAAGCACTATAGTCTTCCCCCGAGCAAAAGACACATGTACTATAATATTCAACTTTCTCTGGAAAAGTCCATTTCTCGAAGTCACCCCTCGAAATGAAAATAGTATGCACGTTGAAATATTATGCACAATGCTCATATGTTCTATTTGGATAGTACACATGTCTCTTCTATTCAAACAGACGGGTATTCTATTCAAATAGAACGCACTCGTGCCCGCTTGCAGTGCCAAGCTTGTTTTCAAGCGCGCGCCCTGCAGTGTTCACTGTTCCGCCCTCTCTCTCTCTCTCTCTCTCTCTCTCTCTCTCTCTCTCTCTCTCTCTCTCTCTCTCTCTCTCTCTCTCTCTCCCTCCCTCTCTCCCCCCCCCCCCCCCCCCCCTCCCTCCTCCCCCCCGCCTAATTTGAAGGTCCTGTTTGAGGGAAGACTGCCAGTGGAGGTACCTGTTAAAGGCATATACTTTTTTTTTCAGGGTTGGGCGTTCTTTGAAGTCGATACCCTATATTCATAGTCAACACACGTGCATTGTATACGAATACAGTGCACCCCGTGCGTTCTATTCGTAAATAACGCACTTGCGCTTCGTTCGGGGGAAGACTATAGCTAAGGGAGGTTTCTCCAAGCATTGCAAGCAAGCCTTCCCCTGGACTGATGACAGAATTGAGACTGTTTTTTTTTCTACTCTGCTGATGATGTAGACTAGGTGGGGTTACGTTGGACAAGTCTGCAGACTCGGCAGAGGGATTATTTTGGAAACTATTTGGAAAAATCACGAAATAACTGTTTGTTCAGAAGTGAGTATCCAAGGCCAGAATGAGGAAAGTATCAAGTTACGAAGCAGATCAGACTCCGTATTATTTGTAAAGGTGAAAATAACCCTAAGAAAGAGAGTTGGAACACTTCTTTTTTTTTTTTTCTTTTTTTTTTTTGGGAAAATTTTCTAAATGCCCCTGAAGTTTGCGTTTATTTGCGGCGTGCCCCTGTGAAGGCCGACATACCCTGTTATGCCCCTCGGGCCTCTAAAATTTTCCGCAGGCCCCCCAATATGCTCTTACTGGACCGCTGGTGGCGTTTCATGGGTCCATCCTTGAAATGCCCTCACGAGGGGCACACATCTTTCTGTGATGCCCTTGCAGCAGTCGGGACAGGAATTCGAACTCGAAAATGGTAGGTATTTCACGTGCCACCAGGGAAAAATGGTGCCGCAGTCAGTCTTCAAGTTCGCCGTGCCATGGATCGCTGCTCCCTCCTCCTCCACCCATGCTCATTGCCCTCCTCCCTCCTCCTCCATCCATGCTCGTCGCTCTCCTCTCTTCTCCTCCAGCCTCC